TCCAGAGCAAACTAATTTATTCAGTAGCCAAATCACTCACTCACAACTTTAATGCCGGCAGCTCACAAAGTAGAATTTTTGCTCACAAGACTCCACAGCTTAGAGGGAACATTGGTCTCAACTGCTAGTTCTGCAGTCAAGAAAAAAAAATATCATGCAATCCGGTCAAACCAGGCAACTGAGGAGCGCCTGCCTATATTTCCTTACTAGGGTAGTGTGTGTGTTTTGTGCAGTTAGAGTGGAAAGGGTGGAGGAGGATGAGAGAATTTGCAAGCAAGTCTCTGTGTGACGGGAGAGAGAGGGGAGATTTCTGGGTGGGAATTGCATGCATTTCAAGAACCTATGTCAGAATTGGTTTTTTTATGGACCAGGGTGAAGAAAATATCTTTGAACCTAAGATAGTGGAACTGTTTTTCTAGGAATTTGGGTGACCAGCAATGCAATCCTAGGAAGAGTTACACCCTTCTAAGTCCATTGCAGTCAGTGGTATAACTCTTTTTAGGATTGATCCAGGTGGGTAGCCGTGTTGGTCTGAAAGAGTAGAACAAATTTGGAGTCCTGATGATAACCATATAAACGAGGGGTGTCAAACTCATTTGTTATGAGGGCCAGATCTGAAATAAATGTCACTTTGTCGGGCCGGGCCAGATGTACCATAATATAATGCCAGGTACTGGAGATACAAACTTTATAAAGGACACAGGCAAACCCAATTAACAATACTATTTTTACTCAAAATACAAACAAAATCAATCGATTCCTAGCAGTGAAAGCATTTGATTTACTGGGGAACCCACAAAAGCCCCAATAAATTATTTAATCATATACAAGACTAGGTTTTCCCCAAGGGATACCATAAAAGGGGGAGCACTTCCATCCATGCCAGTTACCTGCCGGCTGGGTAAGAGCCCTGGATGGGCCGGTTCCGGCCCTCAGGCCTTATGTTTGACACCCCGATATAAACTAAGCTTCTTATTCTTTTAATCTGTTAAAAACACCTTTATGATTCTGTATGCTAATTTACTGCCCATCCTCTATAGCAGGGGTGGCCAAACTGTGGCTCGGGAGCCACATGCGGCCCTTGCACACATATTGTGCGGCTCCCGGCAGGGCAGCTGGGGAAGCGAAGGGGAGGCATGCCTCCCCGATCGGTCTTCCCTTCCTCAGCCAGTGTTCCCCTCCCTGGGTAGGCTTGAGGTGTGTGTGGGGGGAGCAGAGAAAGAAAGCAACTTTAACTTTAAATGCATTCTCAAAGCGCCCCCCCCCCCAGCTTGGAGAAGGCATCTGTCTCTTT